GCAACCTTTCCCACTGCCTCTCCGTTGACAGCCAAGGCTGCCACTCGAGTGAGTGGGCGTTGTCGAGGGAGCACAGTCTCCCATTGCCATCCGTCGAGGTTGCTTCGAAATTCTGTACTATGAGGCGTGTTTTAGCCTCATCTGGCTCTTTCGGCAACTGAGATTGCATCAGTCTCCAGGCGGCCTGGGTATTTGTTGTGACAGTGTCCAGGGTGTTGTAGAGGCCAGTCAGTGTGTGCACAGTGATCACCTGAAACTGTGAGCCATGGGTGTCCTGGAATATGAGACCACCTCCCAACCCATCCTCACGTCAATACTCCTACTACCGTCTTCCCCCGAACACAACGCACCCTTATTTTGGCTGTATCTGGCCCGAAATATAGCTTGTATACATTCATTTTTAGGTTGCGTTATGTTCGGGGGAAGGCGGTAGTAGCGCACCCCCTATCCCACTATTCTACCTCAGTGTGACCAGCACTCAGGACCATTGCCCTACCAACGGGCAGGCAACTTGGACCGAACAGCAGTGATAGGCACCAGGNATCCCACTATTCTACCTCAGTGTGACCAGCACTCAGGACCATTGCCCTACCAACGGGCAGGCAACTTGGACCGAACAGCAGTGATAGGCACCAGGGCTGATAGATTGCCCAGCCCTGGTGGAAGCGGAATCGGCCGAACCTTGTCGAACAGGAACTTCGGACGCCAGGCCCAGACAATGAACTACAGGCCCCATATATATATATATATATATATATAGCCACCAGACAGTTCTATCTGAATGTCAGTAGGAACTGCACCCAATGGCACCCTATCCAACCTACCTGAACCTACTGCGGGCACTAGACCCCACCGGTGACTAGCTCCCCAGCCTGTTTTTTGTGTATATATTCTGTGACTCTGTGTAGACAGTATCATGTGTGGAAACTTGTGTATGTAACCTGTAAGCGATATACAATTCGCAAGCTATGTGTGTATGCCCGAAAGGTATGTGTACTCTGTGAATCATGTATAGAGGAGAGAACGGGACCAGCTGGACAAGGACCCCCCCCAAGGACCGAACCAAGCTTGAACCCGTGACCTTGTAACATATAATCCAAGACTCTACCGCATGAGCAACTACCGGAAATGGAATGATCATGTGATATGCCAGACTGGGGAGAACATCAGAAAACCCGAGACCAACACCCCAAGCAAACCCTGTGAAACCCACAACCAACATACAACACCGTGGACTACCCTTGGGTGGTGCGCAGGCAGTGTCTGTAATAGTACCATCTGTCAGCCCAAGGGGATGTGTGTCCAGCGGTGCGTCAATCTAACGCCCTGCAGGTGTCCATGCGCAAGGCTGCGGGGTTTTGAACCTGCAACCTTATACCACAATGCGCATGTCCAACCGGTGCTCTAACCACTTATTCATAGTTTTCCAACCTCTCCTTTAATTTTCTTGAATTTCCTCAATAGTTCCCAGATTGATTCTTAGCCGAAGCCGGGTAATGTATAACTCTACGTGGGACGCTGGGCCCGGTTCCCAGCACGTGCTGCTCCCCACCAGTAGATTGGAGCATTTGTTCCAAAAAAAAAAAAAAAAAAAAAAAAAAAAAAAAAAAAAAAAGAAAAAGAAAAAGGTGGTGGTGCTCCTACTACTGATAAAAAAACAGAAAGGCTGAAGAAAAAAGGCCTGCCAAGGAAGCCTCTTTTTTTTTTTTTTTCAATTAATTTAATTGAGAGCCCCTCTGCAAGGCCTGAGGGAGAATGACGCAGTTTCCTCTCACTTGTCTTCCACCACCAGCAAACTTTTTGGCAGACTTAAGGTTTCCTCACAGTAGGGCTTTCTAAACGTATCTGACTGCAATTGCGGGCGACCCAGATGAATCTGACAGCAATCATGTTCCGGAGCCGCCCCCTTTCATTGTCAACATGGGTGAGTGGACGCATGGGCAGAGTATCGATAGAAGTGAAGGCAGGGGTGAATGCTACCTTCTTCACCCGAACACAACTTAGGGACGGAACCCCCAAATATACCCAAATACAGCTATAATCGGGCCTATCATTGTCAACATGGGTGAGTGGAAGTTATCAACATAGGTGAGTGTATGGGTGGAGTATCGAGAGAAGTGAAGGCAGGGGTGAATGCTACCTTCTTCACCCGAATACAACATACGGACGAACGATAGCCCAAATACAGCTGTAATGACTGTTGATCATACGTTGTATTCGGGTGAAGAAGGTCATACGTTGTATTCGGGTGAAGAAGGTAGGATTGCGTGATTTGGGAGGCTGTCTCTTATACACATCTAGATGTGTATAAGAGACAGGTCGTGGGGGTGGTTGCAGGGAGGGTGGTGGAGGGCGTGTTGGGCACAGTCTTCTGAAGGGACAAGAACGAAGTTCGTGGGTTGGTAAACCACCTGGAAGTGGTGCCTCGGCAACCTTTMCCACTGCCTCTCCGTTGACAGCCAAGGCTGCCACTCGAGTGAGTGGGCGTTGTCGAGGGAGCACAGTCTCCCATTGCCATCCGTCAAGGTTGCTTCGAAATTCTGTAGTATGAGGCGTGTTTTAGCCTCATCTGGTTCTTTCGGCAACTGAGATTGCATCAGTCTCCAGGCGGCCTGGGTATTTGTTGTGACAGTGCTGTCTCTTATACACATCTAGATGTGTATAAGAGACAGGCCGTAGTGACTGTTGATCATACGTTGTATTCGGGTGAAGAAGGTCATACGTTGTATTCGGGTGAAGAAGGTAGGATTACATCATTTGGGAGGTGTGCCCTTTCGGGTAGCATTCTTTTTTTTTTTTTTTTTTTTTTAATGATACGGCGACCACCGAGATCTACACTCTTTCCCTACACGACGCTCTTCCGATCTATAGAGGGCGTGTTGGGCACAGTCTTCTGAAGGGACAAGAACGAAGTTCGCGGGTTGGTAAACCACCTGGAAGTGGTGCCTCGGCAACCTTTCCCACTGCCTCTCCGTTGACAGCCAAGGCTGCCACTCGAGTGAGTGGGCGTTGTCGAGGGAGCACAGTCTCCCATTGCCATCCGTCMAGGTTGCTTCGAAATTCTGTAGTATGAGGCGTGTTTTAGCCTCATCTGGTTCTTTCGGCAACTGAGATTGCATCAGTCTCCAGGCGGCCTGGGTATTTGTTGTGACAGTGTCTATGATTGTTGCCCGTGCTTGCATGAAGCCAAAATCATGTTGTTTTCTTTCATACGCGCATCGCATTCTCCAGGCCGCCATTAGCACCGTCAGTCTGGAGTATGTAAAAAGGTTGGACATAAAGGGTGTCCAGTTCGCTGCTCCCTCTGGGGGACCTCCCAGAAGGAGGGTACGAACATCCCATGGTAAGTGTTCCCTCGTAAGATAGTGCCAGGCTGCGTCCCACCAACACCAAACTTGAGACACCATCGGACAGTCAAGCAGGCAGTGTTCCAGGGTAGCTCTTTGGCGTGGTGTGGAATTGGTGCAGTACGTGCAGAGAGGGGAAAGCAACCCTTTGGCCTCTAAGTCTGTTCTTGATGTCAACCAATCCGGAGTCGGTAGGCATCTGTGTATGATCTGCCATTGCAGCGCTCTGTGATTGGTCGGTTCGATATGCGAAAAGCTGGACCATCTGAAGTGCTGGAAGTCCTGCCTTTCCAGTGGGGAGTCTCTTTCCCACCTATGTATAATTTGCTGTGTGACTTGTACTTTTTTTSGGGCTATTCRATAGCCATTCTTGACAGTGTATTGCCACAAGGGCATTGTCTGAGAGTCCCCCCATGACCATTCCCATTCCGCYGGATCGAATGGTAGCTCACAGAGGGGGATGGATGRCTCGTAGAGAAAGAGGCCATCCTCTGCATTCCCTACTACTCTCACCCTGGTCAGTTCGGATGGCARTCTTTGTGTGTCCAAATCTTCTTGTCTATGTATTGCTGACCAGCGTTCTCCGGGTAGGGTCGGGCAGTAGGCATGTAGTGCTGTGATTCCGTTGATGGTGCTGTGTACTTTGTACGCTGTCATGGGAACAGGCATAGAATGGGTGGACACCACCCARTCATCCGAYTGTATTGTCGGGCCCGTTTTGAGGGCRCGGATCCAGGCCAAAGGGATGGCTTCTTGTAGCTCCCTCATGCAAGAGGCCATATTTTTCAATGGCCCTGTGAGTGTCTTCAGAGCGGTCTCCGATTTCCAGTTCCTTGCCTGGCCATCCCAGAGGTGGCCCACTKTGTACACCCCGTTTTTAACCCACTGCCTCCATTTGGAGGACCCTTGGAGGGAGAACTGGTTGCCGGCTTCATCCSTGATGTGTTGATGCCCAAAAAGTGGTTGGCGACCCACTTCCTCCATTCTGGGCATYGTGGGGGTGCGGAGCGGCCCTCTTTCTCTCCACAGTCTAATCATTGCTGGCCATAGTGGATMAACTTTGAGGTCCTGTTTYGCCCTTCCTTCCTGCGAGTGATCCWCCGCACTTCGTGGTGGCAAGGGCAGGGACCAGGCCGTGTTGGTTAACCATTGCAGCGGGTGAACTGGTGAGAGAGGGTGAGAGGTGGGTGCAATACAGTGCAGCTGGATGTGGGCGTACGGGGCCCACGGAATATTGTTGCCCAGTAGGAGGCGGATCAAGAACTTAAAGAGCAACGCCTTGATCTCTTCCTCTGGGTCAATTATCCCTAGGCCTCCCTGTGTTCTGGGCTGCACAATAGTATCCCATGCCATCCTTTTTATGCAATGAGAGTGGTTGTGATCATTCTTCCAGAGGTATGCTGCTGCCACCTGTTTAAGCTTAGTGATTTGTTTTTTGTTGAGTTGCCAAAATGCCACCTTGTACCATATAGATGCAAAGATGGCGTTGTTAATTGCCAGTACTCTGCCTACCAGAGAGGTAGGTTTGCCGTCCCAGTTAGAGAGTTTTTTTGTTGCCAGCTCCAGCAGCGAATCACCGTGGTCTGGCGGCGGGCCCATCGCTGTGATATTCACACCCAACACTTTTATCGCTGTCTCTTTGTCTCTCCAGGTAACCTGAGAGTCAGTCGGTGGTGGTCCACCCAGGGGGTCCAACCACCAGCCTTCTGTTTTTGTTCCCCATTTAACCGTCATGTCCGCTGCTATCTCAAAGAGGTGGACTGTGTGAGCCAGCGCCCGGAAGCTCTCTTGGTCTGCCCGGAACAGCACTGTGAGATCATCTGCGAAGATTGAGGTGACAAGAATCAAGTGTTCCGGAATCTCCGGCACTCGTATTTTGTGGATATGAGGGTTGTTTCTGATCATGGCCGCACGCGCTTCCATGACCAACACAAACAGCATTGGTGCAATGGGATCGCCTTGTCTCACCGATCGTTGAAGAGCGAAAAGGGGGAGCAAGATGACCATTGAGGGTGATGTTCGTGGTAACAATTTTGTGGAAGGTGTTGACCCATTTGCAAAAGAGCGGGCCAAAGTTCATTTTCACCAGACACATGTCGAGAAAATCCCAGTCCACGTGGTCGTATGCCTTTTCAAAGTCGATGAACAGTATAGCCGCCTCCGCTTTCCTTTGTCTTGCGTAGCGGATAGTTTTATTGACTAGCAAAATATTATCTAGTATGTTGCGAAATGGCATAAAACCTGATTGGTCCGGGTGGATGAGGTGCGGTAGGAGGGGCAACAGTTTGTTTGCCCAAGCTTTAGCTATAATCTTATACGGCACGGGCAAAAGGGTGATAGGGTGGTAATTCCTAATTTCTTCCTTATCCCCTTTTTTGTATAACAGTGTTGTCACCCCTTGTCCCATCAGTCCCCCGAAATTCACTTCATGGAACACTGCGTTGGTGTATGTGATGAAGTCTTTTTCGAATGTCTCCCAAAAGTGAAGCCAAAACTCCTTTGGGAAGGCATCCAGACCGGATGTTTTCTCATCGTCCATATCTTGCAGTGCCTGAAGTATTTCTTGGCCAGACATGGGTTCATCTAGAGAGTTTCTCTGTGCTGTGGTCAGCAAGGACGGGAGTGCAGTCAGCAATGTGTCCCTTGCATGGGCAAGGGTCTGCGGCTGAGTGCGTGGAGTCTGTGAGGTGAACAGGTCTGTGTAATAAAGGGATGCATACTCCACTATTTTGTAGCATTCTTGATAATTTTGTGTTGAAGGCATCTAATACTATTACACTTTGTGGGACTTAGCAACTATCGAGTGACTCCTCCCATTAAGGAGGTTGACTACATATTGTCGCGGTGTGAATGCATGGTGTGGTTTGTGTGAATATAGGCCTCGCTCAACTACTACTTTCCACATGCACAAACAAAATATGGTGGTGTGTCTTTCGATGTTCCATGGGAGTACCCCCTGAAAGAACAGCGAAATGGGGAGTGTGGGGACACAGACGGAACTGAAATCCCCCGTGTGGTTCCAGTTTTACTGAGAAATGGCCATAGTCGCACGGGAAAGAAATTGCGCAAGCTGCTTTCAAACGTTCGTTTAAACCACCAGTACTTGGCCCAGCTATCGTTGCCGAGCCTGGAATCCTCCTGCGTGCCAATTTTTTGCCGAAGCGCCAGGGTACCGTTTCAATTTTTTTTGGCTGGCGTTTCCAGCCATTGAGGTCCGGTACCCCGAAGCCCGAACTTTGCGTAGCGTTAACGACAACGACTTTTTTTGGCTGGCGTTTCCAGCCATTGAGGTCCGGTACCCCGAAGCCCGAACTTTGCGTAGCGTTAACGGCAACGGCCCGCGGCCGATGTATGGGCCAAGTACTGGTGGTTTAATCCAAAAAAGTATCTCCGAACTTCCATCTGGGCTACTCAACGTCTTTTACAAACGAAAGGGGGGGGGTACGCACGTGGGATCTCGTTTTCGAATTACGACCCAACGTCGTTCGTTATAGAGCTCGGAATCCAACATGGACAGCCTCAGTCTGCTCGCTCTTTCCTTGTGTTAATGCACAAACTATCAAATACTAAGGAGCAAAGGGAGAGACGAGACAAAATCACCCGAGCTTGCTGGTCCCTTCAAATTCAGCAATACTCGTCCTTGCCAGATCTGATTGATTTCAACAGACGAGCGGGATAGGACCTCAGGAGCTGGTAGGGACGAGGGAGTCATCAAAACATTCATGAAGAAAATATCAAAAGAGAGGGAGAGAGGGAGAGGTAAGGTCGAAGGATGTGGACAGAGTCGTAGCTTGACCGAAGAAGGGGACTCGGGAAAAAGGAGGAGTTGTGAGCACACAAATAGATTTGAGCAACAAAAATGGCAATCCATCGTGGACTTAGCTTCCAGTATAAGAGGAGGAACTGAAGATCAAGGCGCGCACGCCTTCTGCTTTCTGACTATGGCCCCAGGCCATGCAACCACTCGTGCACATACACCTTCCTTACCCAGGTATTGGCGATCCCAGCCACCACATACCAACCTCCACATCACAACTATTGTCACCCCGCCAACTCAGCTCCTACACCCACTTGCCCAGATCTTGTTGTCCGTCGCGGCCACCCGATGCACAGCCTTGCAAAACTACAGTCAACTCGTCAGGACTTTTTAACTCACCGTACACACACATCATTCAGCCACGACTTCCTTGAAGCTGACATATGGGTTAAGAGAGAGTTTTTTGGATGTGCTTGCGGATTTTATAGTTGCGAAGAGGGAGATAGAAGATGGGAGGGAATGGGGTGGAGATAGGAGGGGGTGAAGAGAGAGTTCGGGTTAATCGCCCCGGGAAAGCCATATCGATCCCCACGATTTTCTTCGCAGCCAATCAGATTACAGCGTGAGGGGAGTATCTTTAACACGCCGCCGCCTGACGGCTCGAATACCCTGGGGGGGGATCGGTAGGGACTTCCTGTATGGGGATGAAGGTGGGAAGGAGGGCGTGAAGAGTAGTGCAGAGCGGGACCAAGATTCGGACATAAAGGAGCGGGAGAGAAACGCGAAGGGAGAGGGGATGAAAAACAGTTACAAATGGACGAAAGAAAGCACGAAGAAGAGAGAGGTGAAGATGGCATGGGGCATAGTGGGAAGCGGGGGAAGTTTGCATACATGGCGCCGACACAAAGACAAAAAGGGACCAAAATAGTTATGTTTCGTCCATTATAGCTATAAAACTAATTCAACATTGAGAAATTCAAAAACGACATCCGCGCGCGATATTGGATGCGGAAAAAATCCTACGCCTATTCATGTCCCACTGAAAATTCACAGAGTCTTCAAGGGCGAATTTAGGCACATTCATTTGCAAGAACGGACACGTCAGCGAGAAGTGTGGCCGCAAATTCCGGAGTCTCCAACTGTCAAGCAAACTTTATGGCGCGCTCACTAAGGCGCGCGTAAGTTGTACGTAAATTCTTGGATCGCCAAAGAGAAATTGCGAGAAGTCCGACAAAAAAACAACGAGTCTTAAAAGTGGGAGGGCCTCATTGGCCATTGATTCCATGCATACCACCAACCAAAAAGAAGGGTACCCCTAAAGCCCATTAGAGATCGAAAAAGCACGAATAGCAACACTCAGGGCTTCAGAAGTGCGTTCAGGTACAAAAGCTGGTACGTCACATATGTGATGTCAGTTGTGAAGACCAGTAACGTCCAGAGCATAGTACAAGAAGTCCTTGTGTGAGTATGCACTTGTGTGTCATTAGACCCACCCTGCAGATCCTTGAAACTCCTTTTTTTTTGGGGGGGGGAATAGGGTCTGATCTATTCATGAGGAGCAACACGTGCTGAGAACCGGGTTCGGCGTCCCTTATGAAATTGCATAAGAACATTAAGTCACTGGGGCCAATACCCGGCTTAGGATGAGATAAGATGAGAAAACACCCAGTGCTAGAAACTGGGTTCAGCGTTCCTTGCCATGTTCTGATTACACCTGTCCAAAGGAGTCCACCTCTTCATCCTTCTTCAGGATGCCAGATCCTTCAACAAAACTAGCGGATCCTGTTCCTCCTTATATCTGAGGCTAAAGCTGGAAACCGGGTCCAGCGTCCCCTCCATCCTGTACAGAGACCAGGGACCGAAGATTAGTCGGGACCACTGGGGGGCACCAGTGGATCCCTCCTCCTTCCTTCCCGCCTCTGCTGCTTTCCCATTGCTATCCTATTGCTGGAAACCGGGTCCAGCGCCCCGTACTCAGATCCATACTCAATTCTATATTCTCACTTCCAATGACCAGGGGTGGGGTAGGAAGAGGCCAGGGATGTCCTTTGCATACCTCAGGGGGATGCTAGGGTCAACTGTCGTCCATTCCTTGAAGTGGAGACGGAAATCCCGGGGCACCTCTACTTGTGGGTCCTCCTCCTCTCCCTGACTCGTTTCACCTCTGTCACCAGAACAGTGCACCTCAGCTACCCACTCCCCTTTTTTTTTTTTTTTTTTTTTTTTGTTAAACAGCCCGAGCTGACGCTAGAGGTGCTGGTAAGAGCAGGCACCACTAGCGCCTTCAGGGAGGCTCCATCTATTGGTGGGGAGTAGCACCTACTGGGAAACGGGCCCAGCGTCCCTTGACATGGTAATCATTCAATTATGTAAACAAAAGATTGTGAAAATTTGTAATATGTGTGCGTAATAGGATTTGTGATGATGAGCAACATTGATTGCCCTCCAAGGAGAGGATTAACTGCTCATAAACCATACCTTCGCTACCCCATCCTGCTCCACCCATCCGTCGAAGTGTAAACCATTCAACAACACACACAGGCGGGGGGGAATACACAACTGCTGACGAGCATCCACATCAAGCAGTCAGGAAAACAAGCATCCTACACGGTATAGCAATCCTGTGTTACCGCACGTTCATTGAACGCGGGTTTTCCGTTCAAAAACTGAATGGAATGAACGCGCGTTCAGTGAACGCGACCGAACGTGGAGTTCAATTCCGCGCGGGGAAAAAAAAAATAAAAATTCTCTAAAAATTCCGAACCAAATATATGTTATGAAGAAAAATAAAATAAACAATATTTGCCTAAGAATCACATCCGAATTCACTATCAAATTCGAAATAAAAATAGAGAACAGAAAATARAAAAAAGTAAAATGAGAATTGAAATTAGTGGGCGAACATGATTTGACACCGCCATCTTTGGCGATTTTTCAGTTTTTTTTCCCTTGGCAAAATGACTCCAAAATCTACAGACATGTAGACCACATCATATAGAACTCACAAAAAAAAAAATCAGAAAAAAAAAAAAAAATAGGCATCGAAAATATTTTTATGAAAAAAAAAAATAATAATAAAATTGAACGCCGTTCAATTTTGAACGCGAACGCGCAATCGGCGTTCAAACGCACATTTGAACGCGAACGCGCGTTCACTGCGTTCAAACGGTTACATAGTAGCAATCATCCATCACGTACCAGGAAGACAACGGAAACCCTAACCAATCCCCCTACCGCCCGCGGAACTACCACTACCCCTTCCTGAGTGGAATTGCGGACCGGGCAACTCCACACACCACGAACTACCCCACGCCCATCCGCTGCCAAACAGCTGTTATGAACGCCCCACTGCATCCGCGGTTAATCTCCATATCCTCCTTGGCCTCATCGCCACATCCATGGCTATCGTTACTGTGAATATTATCGGTGCTATCATTGTCAGCGACGCCGGCAATCCCAGTAGCACCGTTATTGTCGTCGATCTCTTTCTTGTCGATTTTATGTCCACAGTTATCGTTCGTTACCTCAAAAAAACTGTAATTGATATCTTCGATACAATTGATATCTTCAAACTGATTGTTGTCGTTGTTGTTGATGTCGTTGTTGTTGTTTTTGTCGGCATCATCGTTGGTGTTATTACCACCCCCGCAACTGTTGATGATGTCATTGTTGTCCTGATCATCGCACTCGTTATTGTTGTTGAGGCCATCGTTGCCTCTGTTGATGATGTCGTTGCTGTCGTTGTCGTCGCATTCGATGTCGATGTACAAGCTGTTGTTGCCACTGATCTCCTCAATTGTTGTCGCTGGCAATGTCGGCGTTAATTCGTCGGAGCAGCCCCGCAATCCTTCCTTCAGAGTAGCCCAACGATCCTGCCCTATCCTAAAGATGTCGTAGCATCGATGCATAAGCAGGCCAGCTCGATGCCAATCTACAAACTCGTCGAGTGGAGGAGCCGGCCCCTCCAATTCCCAAATAACATCGAGCATGGCCTGCATCTTGTCCTCCAACCATGGCGCCAGTGAAACCGTTCCCCCTACAGTCCCTAACTGACCCCCCTGGCAAGCAGAATATCCACGACCTCTTGCAGACGGCGACCGCCTTCTTCAATAATCTGCAGCCACTCCACCGCTCCACGCCGTAAGTCTTCATCAGAATCCATGCCGTTCATGTCGTCCCCAAAAACGCGCCGTCAGATCTCACAAAGCAGATGCCTCACGCTAACGTATTGTCTCCTAGTGTACGTGGCGGAATATCCACCATCGCCTGAGCAGATGACCAAGCGAACACCACAGTGACCAAGAACAGCTACTGTCCCAGTCCACGGAGTATGGCTGAGCCTCGCCAGCCGGTCCGTAGCGCAGGTCAGCGCTAAGCGTGAACGCGTTTTGTCTTTCTTTTTTTGACTCTCCTTCAGCTACCCACTCCCCTCATTGCCCCCCCCCCTACAACCAATCGTTAGCAAATTGTGGGATCCTCCGGGTTCCTCCCTGATATCTCTTTAGGTCTATCCAGAGTCCGTTTTTTGTTTGCATCCACCGCTGCGTGAGCTGGAGTTGGAAGTGGTGTTTGAGTTGCTCCATTCTTTCCTCCCCCTCCACTCTGGACCATCCAGAGCTAATGCACAGCGTTGCGACCACAGGTTCCGCAGAATTGTGCGCCTTCCTATAAAGAACATGTTTCCTGCAAAGGTCTCTTTTTGGAGGGCTGGGTAGTGTTCCAGCAAAACTGCTCTCCGGTCTCACGGCCACGGCTACCAGTCTCAACTTTTTACCCTCCGCTTGCTGTTGCTGGAAACTACCACATCCCATTGATTGACCATATTAACAGCGTTCCAAAATTCATAAACAGAAAGAAATCCCTGAATATGTTTGACCCATAACTACTCGAAGATGGTAGTTGAATATGCAGGAATTTGGGGAATTGGAAAATCCAGACGACAGGTCAGTTTTGACCCCCCACTCTCATATTTTTCCAAGCCTTTTCAGATTTTTTCTGAATTTTAGCCTATCTCATGAGGAAAGTCTTGAGAATGCCTTAGGATTCTGGGCACCTCTTGCAACTCATTTTAGGTTTTTTTAATGCTGTTATATTCATGGATCTGCGGTTTTTCGATGCCAGAACGACGCTGGCCGAAGCTGGGGTGTTGCCCTGTAACCTGTTGATAGCAGGAGCGTGAGGCCTGGTAGAGAGATCCGGGGATGCCTTGGGCCGGGCATTCCAAGGGAAAACCAAAGGTTGCTGTCGGTACGACGCTGGCCGGAGCTGGGGTGAGTTGTGTTGCCCTGTAACCTAGCAGGATGGGGGCATGAGACCTGGGAAAGCACGGCAGGGAATAAGACAGTGTTAGAGAATTTTAGAAAGTTTTGTTGGGGATTCCCGGGGTTCTGAGCATTCAAAGGGCTTCTGTGGCTTTCCGTTTTGACTTAGTAAGGGCTGCTTGAGTAGCCTAGCAAATAGGTTAGCAGTTATCCATGTCTTTCCTAAAAATTTCTAGAATCTTTTTCATAGTTCTCAGATTGTTCTTGGCCTAAGACAGGCAATGGCCCTTTGTATCATTCTATATGGGACGCTGGGCCCGGTTCCCAGCACGTGTTGCTCCCCACGAATAGA